TTGTTGAATTTTCAAGAACATTCAGATTAGCAAATAGTTCAGCTGATGGAAAACTTACTACAGTTCTAAGCTCTCTCTTCTTTATTACTAACATCTGGTGGCAAAGATGTCTTGATGTTGCCATGCCTTACAAGCTGAGCAAGATTTAGAAAACAGATGAAAGATACAGATTTTTCAAAAACTGAAGTGTCTATGGAAGACATTCATTTTAAGAACTAAACTATGGTTAGCATTATCTGATATTTCTCAATACCAGAACATGAACATCCATTCAGCCTACCTCAGCAGGCAGTGGGAAATTGTTCTGGGGAAATTAATCTTTAATTAATGCAGAATTTATGCTTTGGGTGTTATAGTTTTCTTTAAGTTTCCAAGGACTTGCAAAAATTACTCATGGAAGTTTCAACAGTGCCATGCTGTTTTTCTGAACACACACAGAGACTACCCAGATGTTCACTGCGTTGAGGTTTGCTAAGCATGTAGAGCAGCAATGGCAAGTCTCTGGCTATACAGTGCTGAGAATCACAATTCAGCTGGCAGGGGAGTAACATAGTGCTCACTTCAGGTTCTTGCTTTGCTGGGAAATCAGTAAGCAGATGCCTGCACAAGAGCCGTTAGCACCAGAATGCAAAATTGGAAACCACAAAAAAAAAATAATTCTAAAAGTAAAAAATATTAGCTGCCTAATTTGTGACAATAAAAAGATTTTGAAAAAATATTTTGAGGGGGTGGAGGGAGGATACAGTGAGAGGAAACCCCCCCCTTAAAAGCAGCTTTCAAGCCTGGAAAACTAGAAGGGACAAAAAGAAATCCTGCCTGCCCTGTAGCTCCCATTCAGTGTATCCATTGCCGCCTCTGTAGAAATCCCACCAGAAGACCCATCCCACACAAGGCAACTAGACCTCATAACTGGATGCACCTTTTTTCCTATTAATGCCTGATCAATAGGCTTGGACTTCTGAACTTGAAGGTGACCAGTGCATCACATATGTGCCATGCACGTTGCTGATTGTACAATTACTTAACCTGTTTAAAATCAGAAGCTTTCAATGACATGAATTGGATGCTAAACTGGATTGCAAGCTAAACAAATGGCAGGAATCTTCTTAGAAGCATTTGTCTCCTTATGTTTCATGCATTTCTTATATTAATTTTTTCCTAAAATGCATAGATCATTCTTAGACTGTAAACATCTGCCTAGAAGAAATTAAAATCTTGGATTTGAATGTGTAATATTAACTTTGCACTACTGACTTTTTTCTGAATTGTGAATAAAAAGACAGTAACCCTTGGACCAAGGATAAGAGCAGCAGCAATATTAATCAAAGGAAAGGACATGGTTTAGAGTCAAGGCAAACCTTCATCTGTGCAGCATAGCTGGATATTTATTTGTCCTCTTCTCAAAGATGAAAATGGACTTACACAATATCTCACGGGTTAATAACCTACTACCTATAAAATTTAGAAGTGACTCATCCATTTTTTAATAGGATACCACTTTGTTCAGAAACATGTCATCTTCGAAGATTTTGCTTCAGTAGGAGAAAATAAAGAAAGAGAAGGGTATTTTTTGAAACTACCAGGACATCTTGACAGAAATAAGTGAAGAGGTGACTGGAGATTGAACCTACTCATTATTGTCAAAGTTATGAAACAACAAGCTGATATAGAAAACTCAAGAGGAAGTGGGTTAACAAGGCACTTACATTGGTGTACACATTTGACTATGACTTTGACACAGGATCAAAGGTTTATGGATCACATAAGGATTTTTAGGACAAAAACTTCCATCTAAGTCACTGAAACAATAACATTCTGGTGAATTATTTTGTCGAAGAAGAAAAACCCTACTGTATTTATGGCTAGGCTATTCATTTTAATTGCCATCCCTAGAACAGATGCCAGCTTTCCTCCCATTCACATTTTCTTTAGAAATCTCCAAGACGCACATAATAATCCTATGATGAGGAAGACGCAAATGGAAACCATCTGGATTCTTAGCCCTTCCAGACCACTATCAACACTATTTCATATACGCTGACTTTATAGGGAAAAGGAGAATTGTTAATTACGTCTAAACACATTCAATTGTCATTTCAGACTTATGCAATACAAACTATTTAAACTTACACCTTTAAAATGGCCGAGCAGGGACAAACCTAGGCTTAAAAAAGGTATCTACTACTTAATTCTTTTGGTTGCTACAAATCAAATAGCAAGGCAAAAAAAAAAAAAAAAAAAAAAAAGATAGCTACTTACTCTGCCGTTCCTGATATTCTTTCGGATATATCATCCATTCAGACAACATTTGTGCATTCACAGAACGATCACCTTTCAAACAATAAGCTGTCTCTCAGCAATGTCTGTCCCTCAACACTGTGTGATGGCAAAAATGCACAAGCTGTCAAGGCAAGGTGGGCTCAGCCACCTGTGTTTCTTCCTGATGATGTGAAAATGCAGGAGGTTGGGGAAAGCCTAACAACTGTAGCATGTTCTGCTTCTATATTCTCCAGGTCCCACTGGTTCTGGGAAAACTTTAACATAAGCAAAATAATCCACCCAGCAAAAGATTTGACATCAGAAGCAGGAGCAATGGAAGAAATCTCCATGTCGCACCACTGGCCCATGGAAGTCCAGATAAGACAGACATACATTACAGATATTTACTGTATTATGACATGAACGCAGAGCTCCAGGTCCGAGAGACCTGGGATGGAAATCTCCTCCATGCTACCAGTGGTTTTATTTCCAAGAGAACGCCCTGACTGCCTTCTGAAATCTAATGCAAGGGGCGCATAGTGTTTTCTTACTGCTTCATTCAGAGGCAGCAAGGGGAAAAAACTGAAGTCTCTTCTCCTAGGAAATGCTTCCTAAGTCTGAGATGCTCTCAAGTAACTTTCAGTAATATTGGAGTGACAGTATCGGCTATTTTGCAACTAGGAGCTCTCTGAGGTGACTAGCAACGGCAATTGCTCTGGGCAATTACTATTACTGTTAAATCGCTGTTAAGTTAGATCTCTCCAGTATCGAACAGATCAGACGTGGAAGATTCTAGCACATTAGTTTTTAAAACACTAAGTTCTGTATATGGCAGAACTGAGGGTTACAGGTTTGAGGAAGAGAAGAAGGGAAAGACAGCCTTTGACAATTGCTCACCAGCTGGTCCCAAAGCACGAGCACCACCCACTGAGCACTGACCTTCAACTCCCTCTGAACTACGACACATGAATTGGAATAGATGCAATCTGATGCAGTCCTGAAGAATGAAACTCATGTCTACCTTCAATTCCTTTCCCCTAAGGACTGGGTAAAGATGACTGAAATGTTCAATGCAGAAAATGTTTCTTTTGCAAGAAAAAGTGAGCCTTGGAATTCAGGAATCATAGAATGTTTTGAGTTGGTAAAAGACCCCTAGAGATCATCTAGTCCAACCCCCCTGCAATGAGCAGGGACACCGCTAACTAGATAAGGTTGCTCAGAGCCCCATCCAACCTGGCCTTGAAGAGGAGTAGCTTACAGGAGCACCTGCAATGATGCGACCAGATGGTCATCTTTCCCACAGGTTTACAGGAGCTGTCCCCCATGGATTACTCTATGAGGAAAAGATTTTAAAACGGCCTCAATTTTTGTGTCCTCTCTGGAAAAAAAAAGGATTGATTTAGCATGTATGCAAAGGCTGGGGTCCCACAGAAGGCATGGGAAACATGCTTTGCAACAAGGGGCAGCGCTTGAACCATCCCAAAGCAGCTCTGGCAGTATCCGATTTTCAGCCTCTTTTCAGTTTCTACAGGGCAACATGCTAAAAACTACCTTTTGCTGGCAACACTAACAAAAATAGAGAATTTTAAATTGTGTGGCACCCAAAGAAACAGATGCTGCAGGGGTTCCACTCTAATAACAGAGATGATGAAAGGGAACTGAAGGATGGCTGGATTCATTTCATTCCTTCATGATTTAGGGATTGGGGAAGGACAGGGGAGCAGACAGCCACAGAGGTAACACTGCCACACATTCTAAGTAGAATCATAGAATCATTTAAGTTGGAAAAGACCTTTAAGATTATCAAGTCCAACCATTAACCTAACACTGCCATCCCACCACTAAACCATGTCCCTAAGCACCTCGTCTACCCATCTTTTAAATACCTCCAGGGATGGGGACCTGACCGCTTCCCTGGGCAGCCTGTTCCAATGCTTAACAACCCTTTTGTTGAAAAAAATTTTCCTAATGTCCAAACTAAACCTCCCCTGGCGCAACTTGAGGCCATTTTGCCTCATCCTATCACCCGTTACCTGAGAGAAGAGACCGGCACCCACCTCACTACAGCTTCCAGTAATTGGTTAAGCAATCTCCCAGCCTTTCTCACTCTCATTCTTCCTATTTTCTCCCCTGTCCCACAGGACAGAGCAGGGGGTGAGCGAGTGGCTGTGCAGGTGCTTGGCTGCGAACTGAGGCCACCCTACCACCACACCAGGGTAGGCCGGGCTCCAGGAGGCGCTGAGGGCCAGGAACTGCAACATGGGTGCACCAGAAGGAGAAGGCACAGCAGCAATCAAACAACACTTTCTGGTATCTGCCTCCGGCTTTAACGTCCAGATATTCAGATTTCATGGGTAAAACAACCAGAAATAACAGCAGATGCATAAATAAATAATTACAAGCATTGCTTTAAGTGATAGTGGCTTGAAACCACAGCTGAGGAGAAACTACCCCGTCAGGGGAGCAGTCTTCTGCAGAAGGCAGGCACGGGATGAAATCTAATTCGGGCTTCAGAAGTAGCAAGATTCTCATCTCTTTTTGAAAAGGCAAGCCCTTGCTTGATGGTTGTCTCGTTATTATTTTTACATTTAGGATATTGAACCATCATCCCTTTTTCTTGATCAGAAAGACAAGCCGAAATTAAAAACATTACTTGGAAGGGAACTCTCTGTTCCACAGCAGAGCAGCAGAAATGAATTATGCTTCCATCTGACAGTTAAAAAAAGGAGGAAAGAATTCACCATTGGGGGATTATTAAGGCGCGCATCGACATGGACGCAGGGGGAAGCTCTCGACGAGGGAGTCCTTTGCGCGAGGGACCGTGACGTGAGGGGAGCCCTTAGCACCAGGGGAGTGGTGGGCGCCAGGGCTGGTGCGGCACCCCCCTCCTGCTCTATTTTTACTATGGTATTTTTTGCATTCAGACTTTCCATTGCAGGCGGCCCGGGTCAGGGGATCCGCTCTGCCAGGGGAATCTGACAGGTCAGCCCAGCAGGAGTTATTTATAGAGGGGCAGGGGGCAGAGGGAAAGGATGCGACCGGCATCATGTTCTCCTGTCATGGGGCGGCAGACTGGGAGAGGCACCCGCGAGCGGGCACAGCGCAGCTGGGCGAGGCGGGAAAGCGGGAAACCCCAAGTGCTGCCGCCCGCCTTGACCAGCGCTTGCCAGCCCGCCCCGCTGGGGAGAGGGGCTGCCCAGGCCCGCCGGAGGACGTGGAGGCTGTGACGTGAGCCAAGCCGCCCAGGCAAGGCCCCACCGCTGTTCCTTCCCTCTTTTTTCCCCATTCTTCCTCACGCAGACCCCCAGGGAAGCAAGGACTCACCTCACAGATGTAGTAACTCCCCCCACAAGCAGAGGGGCACTCATCCCCTGGCACCCAGGCTGAGGCTCAGGACACTTCCAGGTGAAACTGCACACCCTCACGCCACAAAAATTGACTGCAGGGGGTCACTAGGAATTAAAAATGCAGAGGCAATGAGGGTAGTCAAGCTGGAGCCTGTCTGGCCATTGTCTTCAGAGGTGGTTCTGTGCGTGAAGACCTTTTCAAGGAGCATTTAAGCTTTCCCTGTCCTGCTGTGACAATCCGTCCCTTCACAAGGGGCTATCATCCGCCTTTCTCCCCTGGCTCTGCAGAACTGTACTTACCCAGCCTGCCATTTATGAGGTCCCCTTCTTTTTGGCAGGGAAGGAAAGAAACTGGGGCAGAGTAGAAACATCGGTATTTCAAACTATAAACAGACTGCCCCCCTCAAGCCCTGCAGCTTAGCAGCTTCATCCTGAAGGCATTTAATAGTCGGGAGGTGCCCGGCTGCCACGTTTGGAAGGGTCTGGGCTGCACGTGCAAGCCCAGAACTACCCTGGCTGGCATTGGGAAACGAGGCATTCACCTGGCCTTGTAAGCACTTGCCGAGGATACCCAACAGGCTGACAGGATTCAACTCTTCCCGCACACAGTGTGGCGGTAGCCGCCATCTTTTAAAACCTGACGGCGCCATGAGATAGGGCTCTTGCGTGTAACTGCCTCACGGCGCATTGCTGTTCAGCCCAAAAGCAGGTGACCTGGTATCCATGGGCTCCTGGTCCAGGTGGGGTCAAAGCCACAGCTCCCATCTCTCAAGGAAGTGCCTGCAGTGCTTACATTGTGCCCCCTGTATTGGGATGGCCTCAGTCTGCTCCGCAAAGACTGACAGAGCCCAAAACAGCCACTAGGCTACACCGATGAGGTGCTGTCTTCCCGCTTGCATACAAAGGACCTATTTAGAGTTTAGCATTTTTGGTTAGAGCAGATGAGTAGCGGTGAGAGCAGGAGCCGCTGGGTTTCCTCACCAGGTGTAACCACCCCAACATTCCCTTGCCTGTTCCATTTTCTCTTGGAAGGACCCTTCCCCTTCTGGTAAACAAGATTTCTGTCTGGGTACTTATCCACCTCGGCCTCTGCACGCACTCCTCGCTTGGCCATGCAAGTAATGACAAATTATGTGTCTGGCAATACATGGACTTAGTATAACGGCAGGACAGTAATGTTCCTCGAGGGAGCAGAGTGCTAAGACCTAAACATGTATATCAGCTTAGCAAAAAAAAAAAAAAAGCTCCTACATTCAAGTGAGCCTGCATTTTTAAATAATTACTGGCACTGTTAACAGTCCTGGCTTTCATTTGTGTCTGCAGACATCATCTAATACATAATTAACAGCTAAACAATAATACAGATATACTAAATTGCCCTGCGTGCATTGCACATTTTATAGAACACCTCCAATCGTGAAGCATTTCAAACCATCTTATACTTTTGATTCACTCCACACTCAAAGTTATCTACCACAGGCACACAGCTGAGTGCCAGCAAAAATTTCTGGAGGGGAAGTGAATGCTTTCTTCAGCATTTTATAGTCCCAGCTCCAAAAGACTGAGGAAAAACAATGTTTTGTCCTGATGGTCCCATCCGAAACTAATACAGCACAAGCAGATTCCTCTAATCTGGGCAAGCGAGCTGTGCTCCCTGGCTCACCACCCCTAGAGCCCTCTCAGGGAAATGAGAACTGGTGGCTTCCTTAAAAATGCGTGCTGAGCAACGACTGTATGCGAGGTTGAAGGGCTGGGCTTCCCCACGGGCAGAAAATCCCGGCTGTCTGTGGGGTACCCCACAAATGGCTGATGGAGGAGGGGAAAAAAAAGTCAGGAGCATTTCCTTCCTAAAGGAGGTTTGGACATTGTTCGGGATTTCCCTGTTCCCTGGAGCTTCCTACAGAACCTTGATGTCTAAGACGCTCAGGAGGTGCCACCAGCTTTTACAGAGACGCACAAGCAGAGCGGGTCTGTAATTCCTTGGATTATTCCTTTACGGTTGTTTGGATTATCTCAGTGACACACTAATCCAGCGCTGTCTGTGCCACAGTACCCGAGAAGCTTGTAAGAGAGATCCCCAGCTAAGGCATCCATTAGAGAAACAAAACTAAAGGATTACAATTCAGTCCTGCCGACTGGTCCATCTTTTTAGGAACACAGGAAGGGTGTTAGTGGCCACATGGAAAAATCCATTCCCGTATTTTTACTGCTGAAAGCTAAACCTTCCCAAGAGACCCCATGAATGCATTAAAAGCTCTAGATATTTGATTTCGCTTAAGAGCGTCACCGTCTCAGCCAGACCGCTAATAATTTAGAGCAGAGGCTAATTAATTAATCGTCTGCCACGAACTGCGTCCAAGGATTCTGCATTTTGAATCAAGCGGAGCGACGATACTACTTGAAGTATGCTGCCGTATTTACCAACTTGT